GGGGCTTCAGCCGATGCGGGCTCTCCTCTCCCCTCCCTGCCTCCGCAGACCATGTCCAGCAAGGAAAAAGGAAAGTTTGAAGAAATGGCCAAAGGAGACAAGGCTCGTTACGACAGAGAGATGAAAAACTACGTTCCTCCCAAAGGCGAGAAGAAGGGAAAGAAGAAGGACCCCAACGCTCCTAAAAGACCACCGTGAGTGTTTCTGTCCCCCCCCCAAAGTATTACTTCTAATAGTCTGACGCTTAAATCTTAATCACTGTCTTTCATTGTAGATCTGCGTTCTTCCTTTTCTGCTCTGAACACCGTCCAAAAATCAAAAACGATCATCCTGGCTTGTCTATTGGAGATACGGCAAAGAAGTTGGGAGAAATGTGGTCTGAACAGTCGGCCAAAGATAAACAGCCATATGAACAGAAGGCTGCAAAGCTAAAGGAGAAATACGAAAAGGTAAAGTGATAAAAGAATGGTTAAACTTGTAGATGTCACTGTAAATGTGTGACACTTTTTTTTTTTTTTCTTTTCTCACTGAAACAACTATATGGTTCATAATTCTAAATATTCATCTGGACCTTTGCCGGGCTTCAGAAGGTCCAGAAAGGTGTGGTGTGGGAGGTATGGGGCCCTGACACTGAACCTGGATGTGGTTTTTACATGTTGAGATTTCACCAATAAGATGCTTTACTTTCAGAGAGCAGGGCACCTGCTTGGAAAACACACAGTCATACTCCAGAGCACTGCGGTCGTAAAACTCTTAAAACTGCATCATGCATTCTCTTGCCAAAAGGTGTAAGCATGAAGGTCCCAAGGCTGAAACTCTGCATTTCCTGCGCACGCTGTATTTGATCTGCACAGTATAGTAGCACTGAGTTATTGAAGCTGTACAGATTTGTCTTCAGAGTTATGTTGCCAGCAACTAAACAGCATTTTTCTTGCAGGATATTGCAGCGTATCGTGCCAAGAGCAAGAGTGACGCAGGAAAAAAGGGCCCAGGTAGGCCTGCAGGATCTAAGAAGAAAGCAGAACCAGAAGAGGAAGAGGAGGAGGAGGAAGATGATGAAGAGGAGGAAGAAGACGAGGATGAGGAATAAATGAATGTCCTGCTGTAAAGATTTATGCTCAAAATCCAATATTTTGCTAAGAATGTGAACTCAAGTGCAGCTCATTGTTAGCTTCAGTATAAAAATGTGTACAGAATTGTGTATAGGTGATGTGGTTCTTTGTAGGGAGACCCCTATTTTTAATGTCCGTAGTAGCCGAGGGCTGCTACAGCTCGGTTTAGAGAAAGAGAAGAAAAAGTTGTGGAATGTTTCTGCGTATTTAATGGTTTTGTTGAAACTCAGTGACTGATAGCCAGGTGTTTCTTTATAGCTAAGTAAAATAAAGGAGGTAGCTTAATAGTTGATCTTATATTTTGTAGTATATTGCATTGTATTACTTTTTTAACAATTTTGTAATAAAATGTTGTACATGATGATTGTTGTTGATGTTTCCGAGAGGCTGGCTGCTCCCAGAACGCTCTGCGTTTTCCTGCAGAACTGCCCACTCTTGTGGTGTTGGCTCCTGGAGTTTATACTGGATTTTAAACTTTTTTTTTTTTTTCTCTTTAACCACAATTCTCACTCCCATATCTACTACCCTTAGTAGTAATTGAAGTTTTCCTAGTGCAAGCGTTTCCTTATACCACCTTCTGAGAGAAAAGAAGATCTCTAATTACAAGTACCAGTCTCTGATACTCCCAGATGGATTCCCCCCACCCCCCAAACTACCGAAGCAGAGCTCTTAAACTCTTGTTGTGGTTTATTACCTGATAACAGCTGGATCCTGGGAGCTTTCCCTCCCAGAGCTGAGGGTCACTGCCCTTTCCCGCTGTCCCTATTGGGACAGGGAAGTTGGCGATGGGGCAGATGTGGTTAGATGTCTTCCCAGATGTGCCCTGCTCCTTCCCTCTTCCCCCTGGCCCCACTCTTCCGTGGCTTCTCGTAAAACACACGGCTTGCAGGGCAGCATGACAAACGTTGGAATGTTATCTCCGCACAGGCCGGCAGATCCCTGCAGGAGAGAGGAGGCGTTTGTAAGGAACACGTGCTCCTGCTAACGGGTAATGTTCCTGTCCGCGGTGGGAACAGCATCGCCAGTTACGTGATTTCTGTTTTTTCACTTAACCTTTAGTATATTTAAAGTCTAAATCTAGATAGATAGCTAACAATATTTGTAAGCGGGGAATTGGGGATCCCACAGCTAAACTAATAGCTTATGTTTAATTTGTTGAGGTAGCCTTTGAAAGCCCCGCGCTAAGAACCATCTTGTCCAAAGTACTACAAAGGGCAGGCTTCCAACTTTTTTTTTTTTGTGTTTGTCTTTAAAGTGTCTCCCTATTGTCCATCAGCTTCCGAAATAAATCTGCGTGCAGTCATTTTATGTGTGTAAGGTAAAAAGTGATTTCAACACCGTAACCACGGCAAATGTCACTGTGGTCGGTTAAAGATCGTGCAGCACTTTGTGACGTGAGACTCCTGACAAGAATGGTTTGTGTATTCCTGAAAGTACGGAAATAAGAACTGCAGAGGAAATTCAAGCGTGTTTATATTGAAGTGGGTACCAACCTTCGACGGCCTTCGGAGCCCAGAGCTGTTTTCCCTCGGTGTCCTCCCCCTGAGACAGCTGAAGCAGCACCGGCAGGGTTAGCTGAGTGGACGTGCCGGAGGTGTGGGGCGCCGGTGGGATCCACGGCTCCATCTGCAGCTCAGATTTTGGGACGCTGCAGGCGTGAGCGGGAGGGGAGAGGCAGCTGCCCTGTGTGTGGTGCAGCCGGTGCCCAGGAGTGTGTTCTCCTGTAGAGCATCTGCGATCCCGGGGCATCTTTATCCGTACCTCAAACATGCTTCCAGGCAGAGGCCATTCCGCGTGGACTTCCCCCGAGAGCGGACTGGTCTCACCCGTCTGCAGCGGTTTCTGGTCAGGTTTCCCTGCAGGAACGCACTGCCACCGCCCCTCAGCGCTCAGACCCCCTGAACGGCGCCGGGAGCCTTCCAGATGTAAATAATCTTTGGCGGTGGAGGGGTAGCATCAGAGTAAATTGACTAGTTTAGTGATTATTTGAAATGGTTTTTTTACTACTGCCCAAGTGCTTTTAAACCGAAACGAAGCGCAACCCTTCAGGGGCTTCAGTCATTCTGTCCTTTTGATAAGAAGGATGTTGACTACCGACTAAAGGCGAATGGGAAAGAGCGTGTGGAAGTTGCTATTTTCAAATTAATCTTTAAGAATGATGGTGCGTCCGGCCAGGGGGTTCAGGTAGGGCCCATCTGCGCGCGCTGGGGGAGCCAGGACTGGAGAGGACTGGGAAGGAGGGATCAAAGAGCAACGGGAACGTTCAGAAAAGATAAGGCCATAGAAGAAAAGCTGAATTAGTTTTTCACACCCGTGTTCAATATGGACAAGCTTAGGAAATTACTCACTGGGAACTTTTCACTGGAGGTGAAATGGGAGGGCTGTCTCAAATCAAAACTAAAAGGGATGCCCACCACGGGCGTAGGCATCAGGGTGGCTGCTCACGTTGCATCAGAGGTCCAGCAAAAAGGCACGCGCCCAGTAAAGGAGGACAAAAGACCACCAAAAACCAGACTGAGGGGGATGAAGAGCAGGTACGAGAGAATAACAAATGTAGGGAAGCCGTCTTTAAAAAGTTATTTCTGAACCGGTAAAGCAGAAGAGACCTGCACCCCACCGGGCGAGACGCAGCGATGCGTGGCGAGGAAAAGCAGCGTCAGAGCAACGCGAGAAAACACAGGGATTAATAACAACTGTCCTCCACACCGCAGCCCGGAGGTCGGCCAAGCAGTCCTGGGGACGAGAGATGGTCGGGATAAAGCAGCGATGCCTAGAGAAGATTTCAGGAAAAGAAAAATACTTTTTTTTTTTTTTCCAACCGTGTAGCGGCGCTTCAGGAAGTTTTCATCAGGGAACTTTTTAATGGGGGCGGCATGGTGGAGCATCTGTCTCAAATCCAAGTGTAAAAGGTTTTGAAACAAACTGACAGGACAGATGGTATTCATCCGAGAGTTCTAAGGAAACCCAAGGATGAAATGGCTGAACTATGAACCGTACTTTATATTTTTTCACTTAAAACTGCCTTAGCACTAGAGGAATGGAAGGTCACAAATACGACACTAATTTTTGGCAAGCGTTGTGTGGAGCCACAGGGAACGTCAGACCGGCAGTGCCCACGTGGCGCATTGGTGGGAGCCGCAGTGCAGCCGAGAGCCGTGGGGCAAACGGCTGAAGAGGACTTACGATTTCACAGGGGGAAATCCCGTTCCACGGACCGGTAGATATTCTTTGAACAACCCCCTGAACGTGAAGGTAAAGGAGATGAGGTAGTTCTGGTCTGGTCTGCTTCTCGTAAGAGAAGTCGGTCGTCATTGAAGGCCTCGCGTGAAGAACCAGCTGGCTAACGATGCAGGAACAACACAGGAATTAGCCATCAGTTTCACCGGCGGAGGAAAATCGCCTGGGAAAACCCATTTTGGAGACGGGGTTAGTGTATAGCCGTTATTCAACATGTACTTTAGTGATTTGGAAAAAAAGCGAGTGGTGCTGCAAGAAAGACGAGAGGTCAGAGTGAGGACCGGCGAAGGCAGCCTGCAGTGACCGGGTAATAAAAGCAGCAGGTGAAACACGCTGTTAATGCACAACGTATTACACCTGAACGTCTGCTCCCCCAACACACGCGGAGGGGAAAAAGCGGCGCTGACGTTTATGTTGTCGGTGATGAGGGTGGAGAATAAACGATGTTAAGTCAGTCTGGAGGAGATGCCGGAGCTGCAACACGTAATTCTGTGAAGACGTGATAGATGTTCGCTAGAAAAGCAAAGAGCATGTTAGGCATTATTAGGTAAAGAGTTAAGAACAAACCAAATATTTAGCATTTCATTACCATCTTCCCAAAGGAATATAAAGTTTCCTTTTTCTTAGATCAACTTCTTGAACAAAGCCTATTTACAAAGTGGGTCTTATTTTTCCCAAGTGAAACCTATGGTCTGAAGAACAGTAAATATGTCTCTCTTGGGTCTTTTTGGGGGGTTTATTTTTGGTATGCTCAAAAGGAAAACCTCGGTCAGAACAGCTATAGACCTCGGGACTGAATACATACAGGCTTTGGAACTCAACTAACACAAAAGAAATTGCAAACGGGTGTGGAGAAAAAATCAGAAAAAAAAAAAAGGAATAGGAGCTTTATCTTTGATTACCAAATAATCTACGAACTGTTTCATAGCAGCGTATCGCGAGCGCATTGTGCATAGTGTTGGTACATAGTGTAGTACTCACTGCTCAGGGACGGACTATTTGCGGAGGTGGTTCCTGTTGCTGGTCCTGCTTCCCGTGCCTCACCGTCCTTACCGCATATTTATTCTTCTGTTTGTTCTCTCGTTGTGGCTTGTCTTTCTTTCCACATCTTGAAACACACAAGTGTTTTGCCAGCAACCCCTGCATTTCCGAAATTGCTGGGCCTCTCGGAGGAGCTGCATCGCAGCCCCGTCTGCTTCTCTGGGATTCCTTTCGAGTCCAGTGTCAGGAATCCCGTAACGGAGCCCAGATGTCGAGCTCGCCGCTGCATTCTCCGGTGCACGCAGCCCGTGAGGGACGCCTGACTCTGACTGTGGGGCGCGCACGAGATTCAGACCTACCTAGTCAAAAAGCTGACGGCCTACGCAAATTTCTCTTCATCGCTGCAATTAATGTCACAGGCCAGCAGTGGCAATTAGTGAGTGACCCTGTGCATTGCTCTGACTGTCCTGATATCCTGAGATCAACCCTTCCCTCTCACCTCAGTGTTGGAGTTTCTTGATGTTACAGGAATGAATATCAAGTCAACCGCCAGAAAAATCTTTTGCTGGCAAATGTGGTGCTCTGCCTCTAAGTTGTACGGCTGTTTCCTGGCCCGGACATCTGTTGGCAAAGTCCGTACCCCTAAATCAGTTCCCCAGCAGAGCTGAAGGGATGTTTGTTTGTGTGGACAAGAGCACCTCCTTCTGAAACACCCTCTGAAAAGCGTGCCGTGAGGACACGAGTGTCAGTGCTGCCACCTCGAAGCCGGCTCCTGGCTGGCTGGACCCAGCACTGACCCAGCACTAACTACTCCTTCGGGGATTAAGACCTTTAACAAGCCTTCATCATCGCCAGGCGGAGAGAGTTGGGGGGGGTCAGCCTGGAGAAGAGAAGGCTCCGGGGAGACCTCAGAGCCCCTTCCAGTGCCTAAAGGGGCTCCAGAAGAGCT